AGTATATCAATACTATATGTAAACTGTTAATTGTTATATAGTAAATTGCCTATAGATCCAGACTTTTGCGCCACCCTGTATATAATATATATATATATATATATATATATATATATATATATATATATATATATATATATATATATATCAGGGCCTATTTTAGGAAAAAATTTTAGGAGGTGGTACCCCACCATTCCAGTGAAATTCAGTGAAAAATCTGTGTTTTATTTGCAACAAAAAAAAAATCAATAGTTGCCATTAAAAAAAAAAAAAAGTCTTTAAATTTTAATTTGGGGGGGCGTCCAAATCAGTGCCCAAATATGGTTGACGCTGTCAAAAACGGTCTAGAATAGCCCTGAGTATATATATATATATATATATATATATATATATATATATATATATATATATATATATTATTTATATATATATATATATTTATATATATATATATATATATATATATATATATATATATATATATATATATATATATATATATATATATATATATATATATATATATATATATATATATATATATATATATATATATATATATATATATATATATATATATATACATATATATATATATATATATATATATATATATATATATATATATATATATATATATATATGATGTTTAAAACTTGCGTTAAAGTTGACTTAAATACTAACATTATTTTATTAGTTAAAACCATTCATTTACATGTTTATGGTTTTAAATATTATTTTAGATCAAAACGTCTGTTAAAGGGATCCCAAACTCCCAACACATGTTGTGTTCATATTAATGATAATGTTAAAAAAAAAGGTTTGAACCAAATTTTTTTGATTAAAAATAAATAATGAATGCATACCGTGAAAAACAAATGTTGTTGTTTTTGCCGAAGCTCGTCTCCTCCATTTTTTTTAACTACTCGGAGTTTTCAAATTATGCGTCGCAATCTATAGACTTTGGCAATTCCTTTAAAGCGCGTTTAATTCATAAAAATTTTAGTATTTGACGTCAAGGTAGACTTTTAACAAAAGAAACTCTGGAAATATTTTTATTTATTTTTACTCCAAGTTTTTTGGTTATTTGTTTAGTTTTTTTTTTTTTCTACTTTTAATATTTAAAAAGATATTAAAAACCTTAAATATTTTATGCTGGTTCGTTGCTATAAATTGTTATTGCGCCATATATTTAATGTTTATAAATTATGAATATTTATCTCAAAATTTTTGTCTCAAAAATTGTTTTACATTAATTACCCGTATAAAATTAAAAATATTTATCTAAGTAAAAAATATTTATCTCAAAAATTGTTTTACATTAATTATCCGTATAAAATTAGTAACAGCTTTTTTATTTGGTTAGACGATATTTCGTTTCAATTTGCTTTGCATGAAGTTCGGAAAGTCAAACGAAAAAAATAAGTTTGAATAATCACGTCGAAATATATTTAAAACAAATTATTTTAATGACAGGGGTTCTAAAGTTTTTTATAACAAATGTAGGTAAAAAAATAAATAACTAAATAAAAAGTTCAGTATTAAACACCATTTCTTTATTATAATGCAACTGTAAATATTGAATTGTTAACTTGAACTAAATTTACTTATTATTTAGAACGACTAAGCAATAAAAGTAAAATGCCCCTAAAATTATGCGAGATTGTGTTGTTTATTTGATAACTGTTGTTGGTAATGTTGTTTATGTTGATTATTTTCATAAATATCAAAATAGTTCCAGATTAATCTGTTCGTTGCTTTGCTCATTGCTGATTTATTTCTAATTTAATTTTATCTCAAACTATAATTATATGTTAAAAAAGAAAAGTTTTTATTTCATCGGGCGCTCTTTTTATAAAAGAGTAGAACAAAAGAGAAAGAAAAGTTTCGCGTAATTAAACTTTGAATGAATAAGAGTTGTATAGAATATATATTTTTTCGCTCTTTTTTTTAGATAAGAGAAATAAAAGTTTAATAGTAAATTTTCTTTGAATAAATGAGAATTGGAAGAGAAAATTGCTTGAAAATTTGTATTTGTTAACTGTGTTTTTAAAATTTTTTAATTTTTCATGTTAAGAGACAAATGCCAATTACGACACAAATTTGGAAATACCAAATATAATATGTTTTTTAATGCGTGTTATGACATTTTAACAATTTAAATTACCATCTATCTTGAATAATAATTCAATTGCTTTTAATTAATGTGTTAATTATTGCGTTATTTAATAATAATTTGTCCGTATTTTTGTTAAATATTAGTTGTATAAAACGGGAGAAAATATACAAACTTAATGTTTTTTATTTGATGGTTATAAAATATTTAACAGTAAACTTATAATCAAAATTTATAATGCCGACTTGTGTTACAATTAATTGTACTTTTAATGCAAAATCAGGATCTTACATATCCTTTCACGAATTTTCATATCTGATACTACTGCCAACTGTATTGTTTAGTGTATTCTTGTACTTTTTTTTCATAATCTTAACAGGTTCTAATTGGTATAGAGTTGCTGACATTTTTAAAATTTCATTATCAAAAATCAAATGTAAAATAAAATGGTATTTCTTTTTTATCTGTATCCAATTCAGCAAATTTAGCAATTTAAATTAAATCAGCGTAATCAAAAAAATTTTATAATAAAAAAAGTTAACAATTCATTAAATATCTCTAATTAATACTGTCAGTTTATGAAAGTAATGTTAATAAATACTTTTTTTCAACAGGAAAACAAAAAATTGTCATAGCGTAAAAATAACCAGAGAAGTTAGAAAATTGTTCCCATCGTTTAAATAAAAATAATTAAGAATCAGAATATATAATACTGCGCTCTCTTGCGCAAAAACAAGAGACCGTATATAAAACGTTCTATATAATGTAAAATACTCGTATGAAAATCATGAGATTGGTAAGTAAAGCTTTAATATTTGTTTTAATTTAAATAATTAAAGAAATATAAGTAAGATATATAAATCTAAAAATTATTAAGATATCTGTAAAGAATAAGTTGCTCCTATAAAATAAAAATAATTTATTTTTTTAACTTTTTACAAAATTTTTTTTGCGATGTTTGGAAAAATAATACAAATAAATTTGTTTTGCTGTATGTTAAAAAAATACTACAGTAGAAAAACGCAGTATAGTTTAATTACACTTTTCTTTTGTTAAAAGTCTACCTTGACGTCAAATACTAAAACTTTTATGAATTAAACGCGCTTCAAAGGAATTGCCAAAGTCTGTAGATTGCGACGCATAATTTGAAGACTCCGAGTAGTTGAAAAAAATGGAGAAGACGAGCTTCGGCAAAAACAACAACATTTGTTTTTCACGGTATGCATTCATTATTTATTTTTAATCAAAAAAATTTGGTTCAAACTTTTTTTTTTAACATTATCTTTAATATGAACACAACATGTGTTGGGAGTTTGGGATCCCTTTAAGTTTAGTCTTAGTATAGTTATGTTAAACACATGTGGAGAAGAAACATGTTAGTTATGCTAAACACATGTGGAGAAAATACATGAGAATTAAAAAAAAAAAAAACTTTAAGTTAAGGTTTTCAATTCAAAATAAGAAACACAACTTACTTACAAGCAGCAAACTCAAAAAATTGCACAGAAACGTTGTTTATAAATAAGAAAAAACAATTATTTTTAGAATTATTATTATTTAGATTCTTTTTTTTTCCTTATTGTTATTTTTAAAAGGTCAGATCACTTATTTACACAAAGTTACAAGTTCATACTATGCAACAATTTCAAATAGTGATTTTTATTAAAAAATAGAAAACTACTGTAGAAGTAAATTCTGATTCCCAGTGGAGCTTAGAACAACCAAACGTAAACAGTAAACAAGTGTAAACTGTCTACTAATTTTTTTAAACAATTTAACTAAATCTTTGTATTTCTAATACTAAATTTAAAATTAAAGTAAAACTAAATTTGTATTTCTAAAAGAAGTTTTTCTATGATCAATCTAAAAAACTAATAATTTTTTTTGTTAAAAAACAACTTTAAAACTAAAAAATCACTAATTCAAAAATTTTCTGTATACTTACATAAGGTTTAATTGCGACATTTAAAATATTATTGTCTAAAGCTATGTCCTTATAAAGCAATGTTTTTATAATCAAATAGTCATTACCCCTTTGGTAACAGAAAGCAAAAAATCCAATTAAATGTTTTGTCAATCTGACATTGGCTAAGTACCGACCTGAATCCTTTGAATTTTGCAGGCTGTATATGTATGTACACTTCCTGCATTTTCTACCTATTTAAGCAGAAACTAACCCAGACCTATTTTAGTAACTGAAGCAGTATAGACGCCCAAAAAAAGATCTCAAAAAACATTTGTTATTTGTTATTTTTCTTTTGTTTTTTTACAAAAAAATAAAAATAGAAAGTGTCGGTTACAAATGCAGTAGTGAATAACTAATTTGTTGTTTATTGAATTGATTTCATTTTTTCTTCAGGATGATAAAATGGATTAAAAAGTAATTATGAGCCATAACTTGTTTAGTGTTTAAAACTGTTGTTGCGTTATAAGAAGAACATTAGAGTTAAAAAAATTAATTAATAAAAAACTCAATTTAAAGACAATCCAACGTATGAAAAATTTGTTTTTTTGAAAAATAACACATTTTTAAAAAATTCACTTTGTAAAAAATTGGCGTGAATAAAACCCAAGATGAACTTAAAGGAACCAATACTAGAAAACATAACAATCTTAGTTTTAAATGAAACCTTGCAGATTAAAAATTCATTTGAATGGGAACTTAATATTTCTTTAAAATGTGTAAACTATGGCTCCTTTGAGGCAGCTGAAAACAGTTCAACTTTTTTTAATGAATTTTTTACCAGTCCGTATCAAAAGTCAACTTATAATCCTATTGAAAAAAGCTTAAAATAAATCAAATAATCAAGTATAGGGCACATATTTGTTTAAAAAAAATAAACTATTATTTAATATAAAAACTAAAACAAATAATAATACAAACCTATCTTGAAGTTGATACTGCATTTCTAAGTCATTTAACACAAGTGGTTTGCGGAGATGAGCATACTCAATAGCTTTGGCTAAAGGAAATCCTCTTGAATAAAATGATATAAGACAATCTACAACAGGCCAATTCTCAACAGGTTCATTTAAAGTCAGTTCATCAGGAAATATTTGAAAGTTAATTAAATAAAATCTTTGAAGGCGATTCAATATTTCTTTCATTGGACGAGCATTTGTCTAAAAAATTTTATTATATAAATATATATACCAGCCCTCAGAATTAGGGTCAGCATTTGGCAATGCTAACCTAAAAGTGTTTGATATCAGCAAAAAATCGCCGGCCTTGTTTATATGGTAACACTTTTGTGTCAAATTTTTTTTTAGCAATTTATTGCCAACCTCATTTTTCCTAATTTCAAGGGTTGATACACATGCATGTATGTATATATATATATATGTTAGGGTGCATCCAACGTCCGATACTTGCAAAAATTGATCTGTCCTTATTCTTAAAACTTTCTATTGTTTCTCACAAAACACTCTGTTAAATTTTTTTGAAATTGAATGAGATTTAGGAGGACCACCTTAAGTCTGAAACTTGCACGAGACCCTAAACAGAAGAAAAAAAAGTTTTTTAAATGTATGTCATGTTGGGTCTCAAAAGAAGCAAAACTTTATAAAAATTTTGAAAATAGTTATCATTTTTTGTTAAAAATACCTTACAAAAAAATTTCGACAAAAACCATAGAAAAAAGTTTTTTTTAATTTTTTGTTAAAAAAAATAATTTTTATGCTAACTGCATAACTTAAAATAACAATTCTTGTGTAAAATATTTTTAAAATTTTGCTTTTTTTGAGACCCAACATGACATACATTTGAAAAACTTTTTTTTCTTCTGTTTAGGGTCTTGTTGCAAGTTTCAGACTTGAGGTGACCCACCTAAATCTCATTCAATTTTTAAAAAAATTTAACAGAAGGTTTTATGAGAACCAATAGAAAGTTTTAAGAATAGGGACAGATCAATTTTTGAATGTTTGGGGCGTTGATTGCACCCTAATATACATATGTATGCAAAGGTTTACACTCGTGGTCACCTGACAGTAGCAGGCAACCTAATTTTGCAAATAGCAACTAAAAACTTGAGCAGCCATGGCGCAGTGGTAGCGCACTTGCCTCAGAAATAAAGGATCCGTGGTTCAAACCCCACCTCTGGGCAAGTTTTGCGACATCGGTTAGGAAGGAGGCGTGAACTTCCAATTAAATGCTCATCCGCAGTGCTGTGATAAGACCGTAAGGACTTCTTGGGACACCTAAATTAAATTTAAAAAAATAAAAACAAAAAAAAAATAAAACAAAATATTCCTTAGATGCAATAAAGTCTCCCTTTCTAGCAACTTTTTATTTTAATTGGCAGTGCTAGTTTGTTTTTTTAAATTCAAGAATTCTATAAAAAGAAAAGTAACTATCTAAAATAATAATAAAAACTATATTTTGAAAGTCACAGTGTCAAAGTTTGTTTTCCGCATTTTCTATTATTAATTAGTTAATTAATTTTCTATCATCAATTAGAACATAAGAAAATTGTAAGAGCGTTTAAACATATTTAATAAAAGACTTCCTAAATAAAAACTAAAAAGTTTTATTGTTTAAATAAAAATACTCTTTTATTTTTATTTTTTACAAATTTTATTTAAGGATTTAGAAATAAAGTAAAAAAATACTTTAACAAACCTTGTTAAGAAGTGTTACGCAGTTTGAATTTTTTGTCAGCATTCAGTTAAGCAAAAACTTTTTTGTAAAATGTGAAACATCAAAAACATTTAGTTAAGCTTGGTTTCCAATAGTTGTAGAAATGTCGTGCAACAGTTGTACAACAATATAATTTTATAATGGAAACATTTTCTTGTATAAGTTACAACGGTTGTACAACAAAAATTACATTGTAAAACTAAGGTTGCAAAATAGAATCAAATCAATTTCAGCAACAACTGTTGTACAACAAAAACACACAACTGTCGTACAACAAAAAAACACAACTGTTGTACAACAAAAACACACAACTGTGGTACAACAAAAACACACAACTGTTGTACAACAAAAACACACAACTGTGGTACAACATTTCTACAACTATTGGAAACCAAGCTTTAGGCAAAAAAAATTTTTTTTTGCCTTGAGCTTGGTTTCCAACAGTTGTAGAAGTGTTGAAAAATCAAGCCTTCCCAGAAAACGTATACAGTTGCTTGCCTTGTTTATCCACATTTAAATTAATTTTTTAGACACTCTGACCACGGCAGTTCGTATCTTTTAACTTTTAAAGATCACAACAAAAATTTCAATGATCACAACAAAAAGCTAAACTTGTCTAATGAGAAAAAAAAAAAAAACGTTGTAAAAAGGAAACAATTTTGTAAGGAAATATCAAATTTTAGTTCAATACCTAAAAAAATTTAATAATTAAAAAAATTCAGAAAAAAAAATTTATACAACTTTTGTATTCTTTTTTTTTAGAGTGGTTATTATTTTTAGCTAGAATTCGATACAAGTTGAGAAAAAAATATATTTTATAACAATTCAACAACAATTGAAAGTTTTGATATGCGATGGCCATATAATTATGAAACTGACTTGCTATGTACACTAGAACTATGAGAGGTATTTTTTTTTTAACGTGTATTCTCTTTCCCGTCTATTTGCTTTTAAAATATGTTTTGCTATATTCAACGCTTTTTCTTAATACTTATATACTAGGAAAATAAGAAAATAAATTGCTATTTATTTGTAAAATATATTATTTGATTAATAAACTTTGTAATGATGAAAAATATTAAATAAAAGAATCGCATGGTTTCTTTTGTAAATGTATTTACTAAATTTGATGCCTGTCTGAAATTGTTTTCATATTTTCCAATTTCCAAGATTAATATAATTTACTAGAGATAATAAACATAATAATTGCTCTGTTTGAAAAAATGTATTTAAAAACATAAAAAAAAAGTTTTCAATAGGCTCCTAAAAATTTCGTTAAAAAAGTTCAGTAAATTAACAATGAACTAGCCCACAAGCTTTTGGAGCATTGCCAATAACAATATTTTATCAGTAAATAAACTACTTGGTTTAAATCCAATTGGAGAACGTAACGAAACTTGGTTTAAATCCAACTGGAGAACGTAACGAAAGTGTAGATTTCAATTGGGGTAGTAAAAACAACCAAATCTTTTATATTTGAATTTATTATTAATGACTTTTTATATGATATTTTTTACATGAAAAACTTGTTTAAAAATAAAAAAAATATTTTTTACAAATAAATAGCAATTAGTTATCTCGTTTTTATGTGCATTGATAAAAACAGTAAAGTTTAGCAAAAATATTTTAAAAACAAATTTGTTTGTATTTATAGCCCGAATAATAAAATCTCTTTAATATACTGACTAACTAAAGTCTGCTTTTTCCTCAAATTGTATCAATATTGGTAGTGGAAAAAAACAAACATTAAATAAGAAAACAAAAACAGTAAAATATTTAGGTATATTATTTTTTAGAAAAAACTTAATTTTTAAATTATTAACTTTTTTAAATTTTAAATTTTTTTTTTCGTTTATTTTATTTAGGTTTTCTATTTCGTTTAGTATTCACTTTTTATCTTCGAGTATTGCTGTCTTATGCTCTTTAAGTTCTTATAACCTTATTTTGCGGTCAAGTTGTCTAAAAAAATTACTTTAAACATGGATGAACAAAACGTTTATGTAATGTTTATTTAGAAAATATTAGGTCATAAAAAGAAAGCATTTAACTGTATTTTTTTTTTTTTTTTTAATTGTTTTATAAAAGAAAAAAAATTTAATTTTAAAAGACTTAAAATTAAATACAATTTTAAAATTTAAATTTAGTTTAGAAGAAATGTAAAATAGTAAAACGTTGAATGTAAAATTCAGTTTTAAATGAATGTAAAATAGTTTTGCAATTAATTAAAGATTTTTCACAAATGTATTTTTTTTTCTTATTAATTCAATATCGTGTAAAGTTCTTTTGACATAATTTGTTTATAAACTTCTTATTGGTAACTGATAAAATCTATCTATAAATTGTATATAATCTTTATTAAAAATAAATAAATAAATTGTGATAAGCAAACAAAAGATTATGTTAAGTATAAGATTATTTTAAGAAATAAATTATAAAGAATATAAAATATAACCTTTTTTAAATACCGAATTTAGATTCTAGTAATAATTTTTGTTAAATTAGTTTAAATAACTTTTAGCGCAGTTTAAAATTATTTAATTACAATGCTAGACTTTCAAATACTTTTAAAATATAAATAGTTTTCAGGCTTCTGTAACAAATAAGAACTTAATAATTAAAACACATAAAAAATTTTTGTCAATACTTTGTTGTTGTAAAAAAGTTCAATTCAAGTGAAAAACCTAATGGCATATATATCGGCATGTGCTTAAGTAGAAAAGTGAATGTTGTCAATAGTTTACAATATTACTTTTATTCGAAATTTTGGTTGATTACCTTCTGGCGACTGACCAAAGTTCAAGTGTACACCTCTGATTTGTGTATATATGTATATATTCATATATAAATATATATGTATATATGCATATATAAATATATATGTATATATGCATATATATACATAATTCTTATAACAAATGATTTACCTCTTGATTTACATCTCTTTTTGTCTTCTCATTTAAGTAAAGTTTCTACTCAAATTAATAATTATGTTTCATTTCATGTTTTAGATTTAGATGAAGAAATCCATGCGTCAATAGACAGTTTGCAAACATTATGATATAAGTAAATTCTGTTCACTAAACTTTGACAAAATTAATGCTCTCTCTTTGTTTTACCTAAGCATATCAACTAGCAAAAATACTTTGAGGAATTAAACATATTACTATCGTTATGAGTTTTGAACTTTCCATTATTGGTATAAACGAAACACGATTAAAAAAAGGAACATCATCATTTCATCCAATCCACATTGAAAACTACAACATTGAGCACACACCAACTGAATATTCTTGTGGAGGAACATTGTTATACTTATCAAAAAAATTAATATATAAATGAAGGGATGATTTTATGATTTATACACCATATTGTTTAGAACCAACATTTGTTGAAACAATTTTTTCTAAAAAATTTTATGTTATTGTTGGTTGCATTTATAAACACCCTTGCATAGATATAAACGATTTTACAATTATCATGTCTGTCC